CCCCGACTGCAGCTGCTGCTGCAGTGCCTCTGTGAGGGCGACGACGGTGGCAGCGACCAAGTTACTGCAGCGAACTTGACGACTGTTTTGAAACTTTTAAAACGCACCCCGCGTGCCCGCGGGCGAGTTCGGGTATTGCTCGCTGTATATACTACGCCGTTGGGCCGGAAGAAATAAGAAGGGGGTGGTGGTCGTGGTTAGGGGGTGGGGATTACGGTGTTGGTTGCTGATACTTTACAGCCTCGGGGGACTCTCCACCGATCGGGGTCCCCCTGGAGCTGCCGAGTATATATATATTATTTATTATTATGACCGCGTGTATTATTGCAGTGTTATTTTTTTTCTGTCTATTTTTAAAATTTGTATGGAATCTGGAGGGACGCGTTTTCTGATGTGGCCGAATAACGTTTTCGTTTCATCACATCACACTGCAAGAAAGACAGAATATATTTCTCTCTCTCATTTTCCTCCTTGTTTCAGTGCCATTTTGTTCGTTTTTCCCTGCATTCCAGCACGGACGTAATCGATGGGAGGAGTGGAAATTCCTCGCCCGCGCAATTACCAGTAATGCACAACCTACCGAATGAACCCTCTGCCTTTCTGTCTTGGGACGTGCGTAACGAGTCTTTCGAGTCTCTCGATCCCTCCACCCCTGTAAATCCGGGGTGTCTAGCAGGTAGGCGACAGTCGCCTGACCCGCAAAACTAGGCGACCTATGTCGACTATCTAACTCTTCAAATTTCGAGAAAAACTGTTCTGATTTCGAGAAAGTCTCCTCAAAAAATGGTGCAATTTTCCTTCCTTTTCGAGGAGACTCCCTCAAAGTTTCCTGCCGGACGCTCACCTGTACGCAGACGTCGACCTGATGCGATGGTGTCCGCTGCGGTGTGCTGTGCTGCGGGTGGTCCCGGCCGGGGTCGCGCGGGCCCGGTCCTGCAACACAAACAACAGACACTGATGAGACTTTGAAGACGGGCCGTTACCCTGCTGCCACTGCTGCCGCCACTGCTGTCACGACCATTGTGAAAAATATCTTAAGATACATAGGTTTGTACGTTTGCAATTTATTTCAATTTAAAAATTTAGGAACGCTGACGGTCATCACGCCCTCTCCCTCCTACGCGCTCTCCCCGTGCGCTGTTGAACACACTACAACCCCAGCGCAAACTCTCACAACTTGCTCCCTCTGACAGTGTAGAAAGGGGCGCGGGCGAGGGATGCGTGGCCCCTACACACTATCACCCGGTAGGCCGCTCACGGGGCGACGTCATGCAGAGGAGTGGAACGTAGGCCGAAGTCAGAGCAGCAAACGGCACGTCACGTGAGTGGCGGGCGGTGTTCGGTCCACGAGCCAGTATACAGTACGTACATCTGCGCGCGAGACCAACGAGATTCACCAACAGGCACGTGAGCAGGCTGTCGAAAGACTTCTCTCTCTCTCTCTCTCTCTCTCTCTCTCTCTCTCTCTCTCTCTCACTCTCTCTCTCTCTCACACACACCACTCTCTCTCACTCCCTCTCAGAGCAAAGTGCTTTCCCACGACCTTTTCCTTCATAAGACGCACCCGCGACTTCCGCCAACGACGACATTTTCTGCATTCGAAAGCAAACACATGGTGTGCGCTGCCCCCTCCTTGGGGAGCTGGCCCGGCCAGCCCACCAGACCTAACCCAAAGTGATTCTCATAATTCAGGCAAGAGAAAAATCCACACACACACGCAAAAAAAAACCCCACAACATAGAAACAAGGCGCACCAGCAAGCGAGCGAGTGCGTGAAAAGGAGAGCAAAAAATTGCAGTGAGAGAAAATGAG